AAATACTCAGACCGGCCCGTCTGGCACCAACAACCATGCCACGCTCAAAATTGCTTAAATCACCTTTCTTTCCCATTCTGACATTCAGTTTGGACTTCAGGAGATTGTCTTGACCAGGACCACACCCCTAAATGCATTGAAGCAACTGCCATGTGACTGGTTGATTAAATAATTGCATTAATGAGAAATTGATCAGGTGTTCCTAATAATCCTTTAGGTGAGTGTATATATTACAGTGTAGGGACCAAATGTCCCCACAACATGATGAAAACCTGTTATTTTGACTTTGTGGGAACCATTTTTTCAGTCCCCACACGGGGAAAGGAAACTCAATTTGGTAAAAATCTGTGACTGCAATCAAAAAAGTAAAAATATCAATAGTCTTATTTTGTTTGATTACTTATGATTATGGTTAGGGCTGGGTAGGGGTTAAGGTTGATATTGTTGGGATTAAAGTTTACCCATAGACATGAATAGGCAGTCCCCACAAAGATATGAATATAAATGTGTGTGTGTGTGTGTGTGTGTGTGTGTGTGTGTGTGTGTGTGTGTGTGATTATTACCATTCAGAAGCTGCCATGTGGAAATAAACATATTTATTACATGGAAACAAACACTGAATGGATTGAGCTGTAGATATGTGAGGACGTTCATTTCTCTGTTAGAGGAATTCAGAATTTCTTTATTGTACTCCCAGCATGTGGAAGATGTAATGGAATCTGGACCTTGGGAGAACATTTCTTTTGATTATTTTTTAAGAGTAATGGTGTTTTGGTTATTCGGGAGACCTCGTAGGAGACTTCTTCCCTCATCCCAGTGGGAAGATTGGACCTGGAACATTCTCAGGGAGTTAGTAGGATCGAGAGACGGGTCTGTGGGATGTTCTTGGGCATGGTGGATGTCATGGGAGCGCATTGGGGTTATGTGAGGAGCCTAAGCCATCTAGAGCTGCTTCAGCCTAAATATGAAGTGGATTTATGATCGGGAAATGCTCCCCTTCGACTGATTTGCTTCCCAAAGACCCCCAAAGCTGCTCAAATGCACCCCTCTGGGCCAACATTTTCCCCAAAGACCCTTGATGCTGCTCAGATACACCCACTCTGTACTAACCTCTTCTCAAACACCCCCGATACTGCTCAGATATGGCCACCCTGTACTAACCTCTTCCTAAAGACCCCTGATGCTGCTCAAATACACCTGCGCCATACTAACTTTTTGTCAAAGACCCCCGATGAGGATGAAATAAAACTGCAACATATCAACCTCTTCTCAAAGACCCCTGATGGGGCTGAAATACACCCACCCTGTACTAACCTCTTCTCAAAGACCCCCAATAGTGCTGAAATACACCCGCCCCATACCAGGGTTGGGGCCATTCCGGAATGCATTCATTCATTCATTCATTCATGCATCACCAAATCAGGAAATGGATCTGGAGTTCGGACTGGAAAAAAAACTATGGGGAGCAGAATTGGAATTGAATGTGAATTTCAGGGAGATTTAAAGTCCAACTCTAGTTCCATATCCTGATTTGGATTGGAATTGATGAATGCATTCCAGAATGGCCCATACTAACCTCTTCTCAAAGACCCCCAGTAGGGCTGCAATATACCTACCCTGTACTAACCTCTTCTCAAAGACCCCTGATTGGGCTGAAATGTACCCGCTCCATACTAACCTCTTTTCAAAGACCCCCGATGCTTTTCAGATGCAATACCCTGGAGTGTTGCTCTTCCCAAAAACTTCCACAGTTGCATAGCATCTCAGACAGGGGGAGGGGGTCATTGCCAAGCAATTATAACTTTTTGCATAGAGTACTGTGCAAAAGTCTTAGGCAGTCAATGGAAATGTTTAAAGCTATTTATCTTGGCAGTAAGTGTACATTTGCTCAGAACAAGAAACACAATTTAACTTTAGAACATATGCACATTAAGAATAGCCGAATAAAAATTAACAGGAATTTCTTCTGTTCTCCAAAAAGTTACTGATATCTTGCTGGATGGCTAGATGAACACCACTTTGGTTCCCAAACCTCTCCTCAGGGGCACCTCAGCCATTCCATGTTTTTGTTAAATTTCATCACGGTTGTATTTTTGGGATATCTTGCGGGAGCAGCCTACTTCAGAACATGCTGTCACATTTCAATGGCACTAAAGTTAGGATTACAACTTGGCAAATCTAAAATATGAAATGTCTTCTGTTTGTGGCGCTCACTTGTAGATTTTACTTCTGTGATTTGGATCATTCTCATGACCCAACTTCTTTTGAGTTTCAGATAACTGATATTTGTCCTGACATTCTGCTGTAGGACTTCCTGATGCAACTTGGAATTCATTGGTCCTTTAGTGATTGAAACCCGACCAGACCCTGAGGCAGCAAAGCAGTCCATACCATTATACTCTCTCCAGTTTACTTCATAGTTGGGATGAGGTTTTGGTGCTGGTATGCAAAGTTTTGTTCTCTTCAAACATAGCACTGTTTTTTCCCTGTCTGGTAATCTCCCATGAATACCATGCTTGTTCACAGTTTTTCCTTAAGGTAGACTGGTATATAGATGTTATCATGCCTCCAGATCCTCGGTTGTCACCCCCGGGTTCTTTGTCACGCGTTTATGGATTCTGCGATTTGATCTTTGTGGGATGCCCACTCCAAGGGAGAGAAGCAACAGCGCTGAATTTCTTCCATGACTGTGGACTGAAACAGGTCCAAGTCTTTAGGAATCCTGTTACGGCTCTTTCCACTCGACCTTCAACACCTCATCCTATGTGGTCCTGTGAAATCTCTCTTCATCCGATCACATGGCAGAAATCTGTAGTGAACAGCAGGTTACATTGCAAGGGCAGGTCACACTCACGCCCTGGAAAACCTGCCCCCAATGACCTGCATTGTCTTAGAGGTTCATATACTTTTACAATCAGTGACCTTGATTGTTTAAACCATTCATTTAATAAAGTTATAGCAATGTAAAATGTCATGTGTGTTTCTCAAATAAGACTGTTTTGATCTATTATTTTGGTTTGATCAGGAGCCATTCATACAGAGTTCCTGATAATTCCAGTGGGTTCACAGACTTTCTCTGTAGGCATTGACATCCTGCTCTTCTGCCCAATCTTCTGCTTCCCCGGAGTCAGGTCTCATTATCAGTTTGCCAGTATTTGTGTATCTGTTCGTCCTATGTGATACCAGTGATGTCACATTTCTCCCTCTCTTTTTTTACAGGGAAGTCCTCGTTGACAATTCAGTTTGTGGAGGGCCAGTTTGTGGACTCATATGACCCAACCATAGAAAACAGTAAGTGTCCTGACATGCCTGAGCATAGCAACTGATGCTGATGTGTTTGTGCAGTCTGGGGTCCATTTGTATGGTGATATCATTACTGATGCTATAGAATAGTGTTTCCCATTCCGGTCCACGTTTTTGCTACCTCCCAGCTCTCGGTATGGATGTGGACTGTTGGGCAGGGATCTGGGAGGGAGCAAAACCATGGACTGTCTCTGGGTCCCTGAGGACCGGGTTCGGAAACACTGCTATAGAAACACTGAAGGTTTGAAGAATCTGTGTTTTGTCCCAATACAGGTATATGGGCTGGAATGTGTAAGTGTAAGGAGTGTGATAGTGGTGCAGGAAATGCATTCGTGTGGGATGCAGCAGTGCGAGGAATGGGCTGGTGCAGAATTCGGCGATGCGGGAAGTGTGTGAGTCACAGAGGCGCAGCGAATGCTTTGGTGTGCAGCTGTGATGGAAGTTTGCTTGTGTGGGGCACAGCAGTGGTGCCGGTGTGGGATGCAGTGACGCAGGCCAGCTGCTGTGGGATGCAGTGACGCAGGCCAGCTGCTGTGGGATGCAGTGACGCAGGCCAGCTGCTGTGGGATGCAGTGACACAGGCCAGTGGTGTGGGATGCAGCTGCGGGGCAGCTTTCATTAGCATGCTGCTGCCTTCGTTCTCTGCGGTTAGGGGTGAGGTGCAGGGTGGAAGGTGGCAATAGCGTGGCACTGCAGAACAGAGCAGTCGGGATGGTAGGTCCTTTTGTGAAAAGTCCTCCTGATTGTGCTAAACTCTGACCATGTCAGTCCTGCCTCCCCTGCTGGAGGGGGGGCAGCCCCCAAATCGCATGTTCGGAGTGTTTTCAGTGGCCTAATAACAACCACTGGTGGGCTTTGATACATTCACTTATGGACATTTCAATAAAAGCATGTGGTAAAAAATTTGCAACCATTCTGAAAATAATTCTGCAAGTACTAGTAGCAGACATGCTCTGTGCTATGTGTGCATGGTCACATGTCACACGGCAACCAATCAGCATGGCCAGCGTCATCTGGCTGGGGAAGCGTCCGCAGGAAGGCGGGGCCCGTGGAAAGCTGGGGGCCCACTGATGCATTAAGAACCGCCATGACATGGCAGGGCTCTGTCAGCCTCCAACCTTCAGGGGGCAACGGAAGCAGCAGTCGGTTCAGAAAGCCCACCCGGGGTGAATAGGGGCCATGAAATGGACACTGCCTGGGGGGGTGGTGCCGTCACAGAAGAATCAGGAATTAACCTAATTTTGAAGCGAATGCAAATTAACCGACCAGCTAAATGCCACCGTAAATCATCATAAACATTAAGGCATTTATTATGGTAATATGCAGTGATTATTAATGGATAGGTAGTTACTCAAAAGTGCTAATGTGGGGTTATATGACAACCAGAACAACGGTGATGAAGATGGTCGGTAATAAAAGCGGTGGTGTATAAACCTCGTGGTCTGCCAGAATAACAGCTGTGGGAGAAATGAGCGCGGCGGCCCTTTCGCTGGATGCAGACCCTCATGGGCTCTCAGGCGCTGTATAGACACCGGGTTCAGCTCCCAGCTGACACAAACCTACAGCGTTGAAACAGGACTGTGTTAAAAAAAAACCAGCAACTCCCTCAAATCGTCATTGCAGGAAGGCGGTAGCATGATCTGGCCTACAAATTATCCCAGAAAGATTAACATAAAAAACACCCAGCTTTCAGATTTACTGTGAGGCTGCGCTCACTGGCTTTTTCATCAAGGCCTGAAGTGCCGGCGTTCTCCTGCCCCCCGAATCTCAGCACAGCCTGGGTCGTTTTGCACCCATTTGTGTTGCTGTGGAGACTCCTGAAGAGTGTCTCCTGTGATACAGAGATTAACGAAACGGTGGCATTTAGCTGGGAAACGCACTACCTGGGTGTGATGCCCCAGCCGTGTTTAATGTGCCGCCGCATTTGATGGGAACTAAAATGGTGCGAGGGAGGGAGGTGGGGGGAGGAGTCGCGGTGATCTGAGTGTTGGGGTGGGGGGGGGGAGTTGCCGGAGCGAGTCGTGACCACCCAGTGTAATCCTGTCCCCTGCACATTGCATTACTCCATCGACAGTGAAACCCGACTCCCCAGGACTGAAGCAGAGCTGGCTGTGATGTGCCGCCATGGTGCGTGTAAACCCTGTTTTAATTGCCTCCCCCCCCCGGCAAATCAAAACGCGATGGCCGCCGGGACACTCTGCATGATTGGCTGGCAGATCGCCGGGCCTCTGCCCCCGGAGCCCCATTTAAAGCAGAATGCCGGACCTTCAGGTGCTCTCAGGTTCCCCAGGCATTTCGGGAGAAGCTGACTTAATTAAGAATATAAAAAAAGAGGCCGGCGTCGATCTGAGCTTGCGTGGGGCTTGCTGAGAGACCACCACGACTGTCTAGTGCGTGTTGGTCATTTGTCATCCAGTTTCCTCTGGCTACTGGTGCATGCAGAATATTCTGGATCTGCCAGCTTACACTCTAGAAATTCCAAAAAGGTAGTGGATGCGTCTTCATGAACACACTATGCAGTGACTACACAGTCTGGCCCGCTGTCCCTGTGCTTTGAGGTGGGCTTCTGTGTGGAAGCACAGGCAGCAGCCCAGCAATAGTGGGTGGGACTCAAATTGGGCGGGGCCCGGTAGTGGGTGGGGCTCGCTGCCGCTCGTCAGCCCTTCTGTTCCCTGGTTATTTTAAGCTCCAGTCGGCTGCCGGCGAATGATTAATGTTTAATATGCAGCGTGTAGATGACGCTACTACTGGGTAGAATCAGCCTGGGGGGGCTGTGTAATGCTGTAAGAACTACAGAGGGGGCGGCGTGTACCCCGTGGTGTCACATGATCGTGGCCCATCAGGGAGCTCCGTGCATTGATCCGTTTGCTCGGTGCGGTGAGCATGAGACCTAACTAGGGAGCGCTCACCCCAAGGACCCTTGTGGACCGGAGTTTGGGTGTGGTGGCCCCGCGCATAGAAAGTGTGGCATGCAATTGGGGGGTGGAGAGGCTGGGCATGTGTCGGGATTCAGGTGCAGGAAGAACAGCCTCTGCCACACAGAGGCACACACCTGCCCCCCCCCCCCTCACTGCAGCGTGCTCGTTCCCGAGGCTATAAATAGCAGCGGCGGCGGCAGGCTACTGGAGCCCACGGAGGCGTCAGCATTACTAACCTGATCCGGCAACCCCCCCCCCACACACACACTCCCCATGGCCCGCTCGTCACCGTACCCCACTAGCCAATCCCTACCCGCCACGTCACTGCTGTGCGATTTCACCCCACGGCAGCAAGGTCGCCTGAGGTGAGCTGTTCCAGCATGCACAGGCTCTGTGGGGGGGCACAGTGGGGGGAGGGTGCGCAGCTGGCAGCCTGTCACCAAGCGCCAGCCCTGCCTTCCCCGGGACTGGCAGCGAGACATGGGAGCCAGTAAGCATCACCCCAGATACCGTCTCCGTTCTGGGCTGCAAATCTGAGCCCCAGGCTGGGATCTCATTAATCCAGCTTCCGTAGGCATGGGAACCAGGCGTATCAAGGTACAAAACGCCCAGCAGGGGGCGCCCCTGCCAGCCAGGTGGTAATTCCGCAGGCTCCGGCAGTCCGTTAGGGTCCACCTTGGGATGTGAAGTGGCAAAGCCAGATGCTGAAAGCTGTACATATATATGTGTATTTGTGTACATAGCCCTGATTATTTACTGTGCTTTTGCCTCTACGACTGTAAACACCAGCCTTATAGTTCAGTTTCTCTTTGACTGGCCTGATTTAACGAGGTGCCTCTGAACCCAATTAATCCCCCATGTCCAATTAAAGGCTCCATGTTGGCAGCTCCCCTTCCTGCACTCCTCAGGCTGGCTGGCCCAGGCACATTTTCTTCTACTCCCAACTCTGTGTCTGATCAGTGTCATGTGGCTCGATGCTGGATTTACGGCCGGTTCTTTCGCAGCCTAAAACAGACACCTTAGGCTTCCAGTGGGATCGCAGGTGAGTCGAGGCGGTCCGGGACACACCCGCTGAGGCCAGGGGGTGCCGGCGTGCCGCCTCCTCACAATGTGGGGGGATTATAGCCACGTGCTTCTCTGAATAACATGCAGAGTGCCATTGCTGGGAGAAAGACACAAATAAATCAGAATGAAGGTTCAGTCCAAGAGAGTCTATTGTATATTTGTGTGTGTATGTGCGCTCATGCCCTGGATTACTGTGAGGCAGGATGTTAGCTCTCATTAAGGATTCCAGGAGAGTTGATTAGTAATACTTGTTTAAGGAGGTGACATTGCCCGTTACCGCTTATGGAAAGGTGAGTGGTGATGTTTGATTGCAGAAATGGCCACGACCATTCTCATTCTTGGAGTGATTGGTAATGTCTGATTGTGAAGGGGGGATGCCCATTCCTACTCAGGGATGATCAGTAATGTCTGATTGTGGAGGTCATGATGTCCATTTCTGCTCTAGGATGATTGATAATGCCTGATTCTGGAGGTGGTGATGCCCATTCTTGCTCTGAGAGGATCAGTAATGTTGATTTGCATTCCTGCTTGGGGGTGATTGGTAATGTCTGATTGCAGAGTAATTGCTGCTGTGTCCCTGTGTCGCTGTGAGTCATGCTAACCCACACCAGGGATTGACTGAAAAGTTTTCATTTTGTTCCTGTGCTTTGTTATGTTTAATACTGCAAAATTCAGTAGAAATAACATTAACTTTATTAAAGATGTGATGTTTTCTAGGCTCACTTTGAGAATCATTTTATAAAATCTGGGCTCATCTATATATGACAGTATGAAGTCATGCATGTTAGATGTGACATTCCGTGTGAATTAGTGACACTCCAAGAAAGACTGGTCTGGAAAGGCCGACCTAGATAGCAGCTGTGCCATCCCAACAACTCCCTTTCCCTCTCTCTGCAGCGTTTACGAAAATGATCACAGTAAATGGACAGGAATACCACCTACAGTTGGTAGACACAGCTGGACAGGTAAGATGGAGAGCTGGGCATACCCTGTAATGACCTGCAGTGCATTCTGGGAGATGTAGTGCTGCACACTGCTGCCCGGTCGGGAAGGGCACCGGGGTCATTCTCTGAAAGCGTCTAATTAAAAGGCAGAACAGGGCTGCTGTCGTCATGGCGATCTGCCCTCCCGCTTTGAGAAAGATGTGGCTTGTCCAGTGATACGTCTCCCTCCCCATGGGTGATGTAAGACCTGCATTCCTTTGTGTGTGCACACGCTCCATGTAAATAATTCAGATAATTTTAAGAATTTTTTTCCACACCTTTTAAATTTAAACCCCTTAAAATGACCGTGTGATACCAGTGTAACTGCTATGAATCTGTAGTCAGTTCTGGTTTGCCAACAGTTTTTCATGACTGGCTTTTTTGTTTGCAGCCTTGTCTTCCGTTGAGCCATCTGTCCGTTGTTCTTTTTTAGGATGAGTACTCGATTTTCCCGCAGACGTACTCCATAGACATCAACGGCTACATTCTGGTGTATTCTGTCACATCTAATAAAAGGTAAGCAGCCTTTCTCATCCTTTTTTTTTTTTCCCATTCACGCTCTTTTACTCCGTGCGTTAAACGAGTGGGAACACGTCCGGTGACGAGTGGTCCGTCACCGCGGAAACCGACGAAGAACAGGGGTGGAGGCGGGACAGCTAGTACAACAGATAGCGCCACCAGCAGAATCCCGGGGGAGCGCCCACATCCACAATGCAATCTGGCATTCTGAGCTAGGCTATAAAATAACAATTAAGGGGGCAAATGCGATTGGATAACAGACTGCTTGTTATGTTTTTTTTTTTTTTTTTTCTTTTTTCATGGCTGGCAAATAATCTGGCGGTTTGGTGTTGGCATGAAACAGCTGAGCGTGAATCATAATGATTTCCGTGCGAGGGCTGGTCCTTACAGAGCCTGTTAGGGTGTTTATCGGGGGGGCAGATGCCGCCATTCCAGTCTGGGAGTAATCAAGCCTCAGAATACGTGAGAAGCCAGGTTCTCTGGAGTCTGCTGGGCAGAAGGACAATTTTACTGGGGCACATTGGGGTGGGCAAAAGGACCCCTACCTGATTGATGGCGATGTGAGAATGAGTGAAGAGTGCACTGATATAAACTCCCCGTCAGGCTTCATTTCCCATGAATCCCTCTTGCGGTTGTTGTGGTAGCACAGACCATCTGAAGTCTCCCGATTTAACATCTTCCCACCAGGATGCCAGAGGAGTGGTGGGGGGGGGGGGGGGGGGGGGGGGGGGGGGGGCTGTTAGGGGTTTGTGATTTTTGGGAGGGAGAGAGGGAAGGGAACCTCCAGGGAAAGTTTGACCCATGGTGCAGTGGCGAGTGGGATTGCTGGAGACAGAGGTGAAGGGTGTGGGAATCTTCTACGTTCTCAGACTTGGTGAGCGGGGGGCGTCTTTTAGCCGATCTGTGTGTGATCCCTGTGGGTCATGGGTCAGCATGCACGCCATTGGTTATTCCACATTCATGTGTTTTCATTTTAATATTTATGAAAATGCTAGTTTGACGAAGCAGATTTTGTGGGTTAAATTTTAAAGGATCGCATCGCTGAACTGAAACCTGACTTATTCTCACGCAGAGTGTTTCCCTCCAAAGTCGAGGCGTCCGCTGGCTTCTCTTTACGTTCCTTTGCATTACACTTCGAAAACCGCCTGTTATTTTCTCTCTCAGACGACGTTGAACAGGAAGCCATGCGTGTCCTGGATTCAGGTCAGTGAGGAGAGGGTCACAGTCTGTTCACGTTCCTCCAGGGCGGTCCGCGGTCGTCGGTCGCGATTTGTCAGCTCGGGTCCCTCAGCAGTGCCCGTTTACCTGTCACACCTGTCATCCCTGTCATCCCTGCCCCTGCCCCTGCCCCTATCCCCGAGACCCACCAACAGCTGGCAGAGATACACATAGACCTGAATGTGGCCTTTGCTGAAATCTCTGTGGCTGGTTTCCAGGCATCAGAAACCCTCCCGGGGTCCGTGTCTCCCTGTAACTCAGGTATGCGTGAAGGTAATTTTGTGGGGGCTGACAAATCGATACCGGCCGAATAGTGCAGCAGAGCCTCCTGGTCAGACGCTGACGTGAGGCGTCTGACACACTCTGTTTCTTTGTTTTCGTGTATGGAAGAGGTGCCAGTGTCGGGTTGTGGCTGCCCTGTGCTGGCATGTGCCACCCTGTGCTGACCTTTAATGGCCTTTTCCGCCTGTGGCACCCAGTACTGGCCGTTACCGCTCTGTACTGGCCTGTTAGACCGCATATTAAACCGCAATCATAACTGATAAAGTGATGAACAAACTCTCTGAAATAGGGATTCCTTGTAATTAAATAAGCAAAACCACAAAAGAGTGATCCTTTGCTCTTCATTGCGGTTTGTGTCATTATTTGTGTATTTTCAGGTGAAGCAGAATTACGCTTAGTGTTTGTCGTGGTCTATGCTGTGACCGCATGCAGAATGATGCGGTAGAGAGCGATGCCCTGTGATATACATTAGCGTTATGTATCTTCGGGGGGGGGGGGGTGTGTGAGACCCTCTCAGTGATGATCTCACTTTTGATGGTTATTACAGCCCCCAGCTTCACGCTGATAACCCTTCTGCTACGAGTCACGTTCCTAAGAATGGTGATAATCTGGGGGGGCGGGGCTGGGTCTCCTGAAGGCATATCCGGAAGCTGTCTGTGGAGCCAGGTGGCAGGGCCACTCTCCAAAAAGGGCAGGTGGGCCACGAAACACCTCCGTGCTCCTGATACCTTAACGCACATGACACAATGGTTCTACCTTTCTCTGACCCCGGCCTGGGCTCCCCCGCCTGTGCTTCTTATGGTTCAGTCCAGATTCTTAACTGGGCCCAATTCAGTGGCTTGACATTTCAGATTTTCGGAGAGGATATTCCACGTGAAGTCACAAACAGGCGAGTGATGTTTTATACTCATTAAAAAAAGACATTAATTAATGTAATTACTTTTAATTAATGTCATTTTAATTGTTCAGAATTAGAATTGCCTTTGGCTTACTCAATGGGGGGTCCTTACGAGGCAGAAATGTAAAGCGCATTGAGACAATGTAATGTTGTGATAATGCGCTATATAAATAAAATTGAAATGAATTTAATTGAATTTACTACAATTAAAGCCTTTTTCTCCATTACAAAAGCATTTCTTTTGATATCAATGGCTTCATTGTAAAGCAAAAATTTATCAACAGAATTAACAAAATAAAAGTTTACCTAACATATATCAAGCTAGGGGTTTCTAGGGCTGTTTTAGGGGGGCTTTAGTGCCCCCCCCCAAATAAATATACACTAATTAGTTTAAATAGTGTGTTCTCATTAATTTTCATTAAAATCAGCCCCCCCAGTAAAGGCTTAGCCCCCCTTTTTCATGAATCTCTAGTGACGCCCTTGCATCAGACTTTATTAGGATGAAAATTCCGCTAAGACAGTTTTAAAGATCCCCGAGCTGCTGACTTTTAGACAGTTATATGAGTATTAATAAAACCCAACCAAGCGTCCTTAATTAACTGGACAGATTTAAGGAAAATCAGCTCACACGCGTAGCTTTTAGGGTTTACACTCACAGGGTCATCACACACACACACACACACGTCAGACGTCAGATGGATTCTGGCTGACACGGGCATGGTAAAACAGGTGTGCTTCAATGTCAGCGACAGAACCAGGACACATTTAGGGTAAACGGGAGGGTTGGGAGATTTGTCATGAATAATCAGCAGCCAAATCTGTGTTTGGAAGGACAGTCGTGTACAGGTACTCGTACCATGTTAGATTTAGAAACATCCTCACTGCCTGTTATCTTTACTTCTGGCTGTTAAATTTACAGACTTGTGTTGTGTATCATCAGAAGGACTAAATTCTGTGTACAGGCCCCATAAAATATCACAGTTGTTAAATGGATAAAGGTTTTTATATTAAGAGTGAAAATAACAGGCGATTATCTGCCACTTAAATGTCTTCTCTCCCAATAACTCCCCTGTTTCCTTGTTATTAATTGGGGCTCTGTGGGTCTGACCTGAGTTCAGCTGGAGCAGATTTATGTATGTCTGCAGTACAGACAGCATCGCCCCATCGCATGGCAACCGCCCTGAGCGCCCTCACGCTTTACATGGTGCTTGGTACAGGCTGTGTTATGGGCTCTCATGGCCTAGAAAAAGACTACGGCTATTTAAAGAAAACTTAACGTTAAGGTGGCTCTTTGTAAAGAGGCCTCCTCCCTGTCTCTGTTCCATCTGTGCATGTCATCTGCCAGGAGCTGCTCCGGCCCCGTGCCCGCCCCCCCCATCCCCCCACCCCAGTGCGGCACAGACACAGAGGGTCGGGGGGGTCTTCTGTTGCCGTGGGAGGATACGCCAGGCGGTATGTGTGATGGCGTGAGCTCAGGAACACTGTGGACCTAGTGAAGGGGGCCGTCCGGAACCACTCGTTCCCGATGACCTTGGGCGCCACCTACTGGGCCTGAAGTGTGTCTACACTGCATCGTGCTCCCCCGTCATGGTGTCTTAAATGGGGAATGGGAGGTATAAAGTCCAAGCAGCAGGTGTAGCAGTTAGAGGTCAACCCAAGAGGGCCACAGATTGCATTGTGGGTGATTTTTGGACGCTGACCAACTGTCTGGTTCGGGGGGGCAGGGCGCTGTCAGACAGAGGTGCTGGTCTTGCTGAGAGTGCAGCAGTGCTGATTTATGAGTCCTGAACGCCGGTTTGTACCAATGATTCCGATAACATCTCCATGGGCCTGCTCTGCTGGCAGCTTCTGGGGAACGCTGGCCGGCGTTCGGATTTAATAACTCTTTGTCGTCGCACCAAAAGTACGGTTCCTCCTCAGTGCTGCTCGCCTGCCAAACTAATAATCTCTTTGCTCCTTCTTCTTCCCGTAGCTTCGAGGTAGTAAAAGTCATCCACGAAAAGTTGTTGGATATGGTGGGGAAGGTCCAGTAAGTATTTATCACCTGGTTTTCTTCTTGTTTTCTGTTTAGGCGATGTGGGAGGATGCCCGATAACTGGCACTGTGTTTTATTCCTGCAGAGTGCCCATTATGCTGGTCGGAAATAAGAAGGACCTGCACATGGAACGGTAGGTACCCCACACGGCCGCGAGAAGCTCTCTGAAGCCCGTTGCGACGATCAGGTTTGGCGGAACTCGATCCCAGTGCCAATTGGAGACTGGGTGTATCTGAATGGGGCAAATGTGCCTGTTCCTGTGAGATAAACACATCAGAAGGACCAGGTTGTCTGCAGAATCCAGCCCGTTGAGTTTCTGGTCTTTTTGCAGTGGTACTGAAGAGAAGTTAATGCGAGGCTCGGTGCAGAGCATGTGATAAATGAGCAGCTGTCCCAGCAAATGCCTGAAAAAGCATCTCTTGGTGGCACGGCCTGCGTGAATTTTGTTCTGGATAATTTATTATTGAGATGATCTGGGGTGCTGGAAGAAGCCTTGCGTCTTGCTGCCGATCACGGGAAGCGGGTAGCCGACCTGATCCCACGTGCCCCAGATTCCGTTTGAACTCCCAGAGTCCCACAGTCTGGAGTCCATGAGTTACAGCCCCTCTGGGGGAGGGGCTCCATCCTGATGGGACGTGGGCACCCAGAGGACCCCGAATGCGTTTATAAAGAAGACGTCAATGGTGCAGAACTGGTCCACAAGCTCACTCTGGGAGGAGTCACTTTGAGGCAGCCTTAAACGAGAGCATGATGTCCAGTTCGATGGGCCACCCTTGGAGGTGTTTCAGCCGTGCCCCTTCTTCAGATCTTCTTTCTCGTCACCTTTTGGTTTCATCTCCATGTGCTGGGCACATTGATATGAATTAAGGCAAGTTTGCACAGAGATTCTAATTGTTGTGCAAATTGTCATTGTTCTCTTGGCCTCCCTCTGTTTTAATGCCAGTGATTCTTCAATGGCAGTATTTCTGGTTCTGCCGGATGGGACATCCAAGCCTGAAATTTAACAGCTCGTTTAGTGAGATGGAGACTTCGTCTCTCCTGATGACAAGAGACTTTGCAGAAACACAGTGCCTGCATCACCCCCACACTGAGGATCACAGCTGTGTGCTGATCTTGTCCCTGGCTGCTAATAGGACATCCTTAAAGAAGTTTTTCCTTTTTTTGCACTTTACTAAAACATGGCTTAATTTACAGTGCAGGAAGCAGGTAATTTAATAAAGGCAGCTAGATTGTTGGTTTTGAAGATCAGGTTGTTGAGTCCTGGTTTGCACCTCACGTCCAAGGGGTGGATCTCTTACTCTAGTCTGGTTGAAGTTTGAATCCACTCTAAGCCTTTGCTTGTGGGAGTTTTACTTACACAAAAATGTTCTCAGAGCAGAACTAATCAGATTGTAGAGGAGGTGGGCTCAAGCAACTAGAGGAGGCTGGACCAACCAATCAGATGTCGACTCTGTTCTTGGTGGCAGTGGAAAAGCACCATTAGACTGACACCTCTTTTTGTGAGCCTAGCGTAACAGTGTGTAAAAGACTGGACCAGTTGTCCCTGTATTTTGACCTTTAACCTGTAAATACATCCTGGATTCTGGCAGATGGGTCGCTCTCCTGTCCTGTACTTGGAAACACAGCGTCACGTGTGCTTGTTTCCTGCCGCCTCTGTCTTTCAGCGTAATCAGCTGTGAAGAAGGGAAGGCACTTGCCGAATCTTGGAACGCCGCCTTCATGGAGTCATCCGCTAAGGAGAACCAGGTACCAGCGAACCGCCAGCAATCAAATGCCTTGAAATCCAGTTGCTACTTACAGGGGAATTTTTAGAGTGTGGGGGGGGGGGGGCGGGCATAAGAGGGGCCATAGTTCATACAGAGGAGCCACCCTTATTAGCCAATGATATATTTTGAATCGTTGAGTGGCAGGGCAGTGGGCTCTCCATGGGCCAATCGGCTTTTAGAAGCCCTGAAATCAGCTTTTCTGTAACCCTGCCCCTGGTTTTAACACTATTGATAGTCCCCTGTTCCATGGTGCTGTTGATCTGGTGTCACCTAATGAACAGCGAGTTTTATTAGAGTAGATTTCAGAGGTGAAACATGCTGTTAGGGCTGGAACGGACAACAGTTGGAAACCAGAGAAGATGGAACTTGGAGAGAAGACTTAACATTAGGCTTATCATGATACTGAAATTTCAAACTCGATACCGATACTAAGGATGATGCTTGATACTCAGTCCTATTATCGATACTACAGGCGGAGAAAAAACAAACACAGGAACTTTTTTTTTTTTTTTTAATAAAGTCAGCACCACCAAACACCACCAAAAGAATAACAATACAATGGAAAAAATAAACCTAATAAATAGAAAATAGCCATTAACATTGTAAAATAAATAAAATATCTTAAAGCTGTATTAGCTTGTGCAAATATACAGTTTTCTTCTGAGGATGGGCTTAAAAAAACAACTGAAGTGTAACTGCCATGAATGAAGATGCGGCTCTGCTGGTCCAGAGATCTGTTGTGCTGCAAAGTAGGTTTCTGACCCAAGTTGTGCTAGGATCGTTTGCTTGGTGGTGGTGTACAGTTGTGGAATTTCTGTGTACATGAAGTGGCTTGTGGAGGGGAGAACATACTGTGGGTTCAGGGGGTGTAACATATGTTGAAAGCCAGGTTTTTCAACAGTGTAGACAGAGATCTGGTCCATAAAAAAATTTACTCGGCAACAGCCCTGTTGAGCTTTTGTGCCTCTGGTGATTTGGCACTGTATTCCCACTGTTGTTCAAACAGTGCTGGTAGGGTGGGTTGTGTTTGTGGCTGTTTAGGTCTGGCTGCTGGTCCCCTTCTCTCAGTCTCAGCCTGGGAGTATAAGACATACATAATGATTGTCAGATAGGAACAACTGAGTTTTATAGGTTTGGCACCATGGCCAACAATAAATAAATAAATGAACGAATAAGTGAAAGAATATATTCTCATATATATATATATATATATAGTTATATATATATATAGTTATATATATTTATATAAATATATAAATGAATGAATAAATAAATTGATTAATTAAATGAACGAATACAGGAAAGAAATGTATTTTAATGTTTTGAGCCAAACTAAAAACAGCACTCCTTGCTTCGCATGGCGTAGCAGAGAGAAATATATGCGCGTTGTGCAATTAGATGATTGTAAAATGCGGAGAGAGAAGCGAAGACACAGCCATTCTTATAGTTAACTTACTTCAACAGTATTGCTTGACAGTGGCACTTTACTCACCTCTGGAAACGCGTATAATTCGGAATGACGGTCTTTCAAATGCTTTGTTAAATTTGCCGTGCTGCTCATTTTGGTTGCGACAACTGTGAAGCACTTCTTGCAAATGGGCTTGTCCATATCTTTTGGTTTTCCCTGTTCATCTGGTTCATATGTGAAATATTTCCAGACCGTGCTCTTGCTTTTTACATTCTCTATCAAGCTTGGTGCTGCTTTCGCCCACTGCCATATTTTAAGTGTGTCTCTCATGTAAAACAATTGGTCCTCCAGGTAGCTGTTGTCGGGGGAGGGGCTGCCCGCTGCAATGCCTGTTGAAAATTGTTGTAGTCTGCTAGTGATGTCTGTGAACCGGCAGATGCAAAATTGGCATTTAACGATACCAGTGCTAATTGACATGGAACTCGATACTAAATTTTAGTATCTGAGAATCGATTTTTTTGACATTACTTAACATGGATGTGGAACCGATTCATCATTAGCCCGTGTCGCATATGGCGAGACTCGAGTCTATTCATTAGCTGTCAGGCCAAGCAAGGGCAAGGCCGGACCAGGAGGGACCACCTGGAATTATTTGTGTTCCCATCGTAATGTGGAACCCAGAGCTAAGCCTTGACGATGATATAGCGATGTTATTAAAGAAAAATAACCAGCCTTCTTAGTGATTAGTTGCTGTACCACTGAGTAATCTTATGGTGTAAAAGTAAAAAAAATGATAAATAACTGCCATTTTTAGCTGCTCGTGTGGGTACGCACCCAAACATTCACAGATGGCCTTGGTTTGAGGCACAAAAGACGGAGAAGGGATCACCGATTTTTGCAGTGGATCTGGGTGCAGCCTGACAGAGCAAAAACAGTTTGACGGACTTGATAAGCTTGGGGTTACATCTCAAATACTGGTATAAAAATGAAAAACTACCTGGTGAGAGTGTAAGGATATGGTTCATGATATGCTTGAGGTCCTCTTGGCATTAAGGGTCTCTCAGGTGAATGGTTTAATGCATTCTTGCTGAGTTTCCATGCTGAGACTGGATTTTATAAGGGGGTCACAATGGGTACCTAGAACTACAGCAAACGGAAAGTGAAAATCCTGCTTCCCCAAGCCTCCCTATCATCCCGTTTATGCCACTGCATGCTTCAGTCCGCCGAGGAGCCCCGGTGAGCGTTATGGGCCGTAATGACTCTGGGCTGCCTCCGCTGCTCTAAGAGCTCTGCGGTCACCCCATGCTTTGCTCAGACGTCCAAAGAAGTGCCAAATGACTTTCAAGAGCCAGTAGTAATATGGAGCGTGAACGCAACTCCCACAGACACACATAGGGGGCGATCTTACAGGACGCTGTGCTTCCGTGAAATGATTAAGTTCCATAAACTCCCTTTATGGTTAACAGGCAACCCTAGACAGCATGTTGCCTGTCCTTTAGTGCTGTTGACACACGGGGGGGGGGGGCAGGGGTCGGGGCCTAGGACTCAAGCTGCCGGCCCAAAGAAAACAGTTCTTCCTTATATGAAGGGGATGGGATCTCAACTCAGGCCCATTGCAGTGGTGGGGGGGTGGAGGGGGGTCATGCTGTATGGTATACAGTCAGTGTATAAATAAAAAATCTCATTCATCCATCTATTCATCTTCCACAGCTCTCATCCCCTAAAGGGTCATGGTGTTATTTACAAATTAAAATGTAAAAGTCTCACCACATATTATGAACTTAAAATAACAGGAATTAAATGATAACATATCAGCCAGTACCAATTAATTTATAATATATGTCAGGTATATGTTTACATTAGTATGAAATATGTGCTTTTTTGGACCATAATTACTTCCTTTCTTACTTTAGGACCTCGAAAGAATTTAATCTCTGTTAGTCATCACTAGGTGGAGGACAAAGGAAGTCTCTGTCCTTCAAGCTAGTTCAGCGTGAGCATCAGAACTGGGGCTGAGACTGCAGTTCTCTGAGTCTCCTGTAGGAGGCAGACCCTTTCCACTCAATGGCCAATGGATGCCTGCCTGTTGTATGCCTCGAGTACTTTAGCTGCATGTAAATTGACGCTGTGTAGAGGCAGAGTGCTATATCAGGCAAAGGAGGTGAGCCATCATTAGGTGACGATGAGCTGTGTTGCAGTGTGAGGAACCTGAGCCCTTGGGGGTTAACTGCTAGCACGGGCAGCCGCTGTCCGCTAACACGAGAGGCTGCTAACATGGGTGGCCTCTAGCATGGGCAGCCGCTAACCGCTAACACAGGCGGCTGTTAACATAGGGCGGCCACTAGCATGGGCAGCCGCTAATCGCTAACACAGGCTGCTGCTAACATGGGCGGCCACTAGCACGGGCAGCCGCTAACCGCTAACACAGGCTGCTGCTAACATGGGTGGCCTCTAGCATGGGCAGCCGCTGTCCGCTAACACGAGAGGCTGCTAACATGGGCGGCCACTAGCACGGGCAGCCGCTGACCATTAGCACGAAAGGCTTCTAACATGGGCAGCCACTAACCACCTCACACTCCCTGTGCCCCACCCCACCCCACCCCAGACTGCCGTGGAAGTGTTCAAGAGGATAATCCTGGAGGCGGAGAAGATGGATGGAGGCGCGCCGCAGGGGAGGACGTCGTGCTCACTCATGTAGTCCCCCCTCGCCCGCCCGCCACCGCACTGGACACTGGGATATCCCTCTACTTGAAGGCTAACTGCCTGTTTTCCTCCATATAAACTTGGCTTTTCTTTTATCCGTTTGTTTCTTTTTCCCCTTTTTTTGGTATTTTGTGTGTTTTTTCTTTTCCTTTTCTTCCTAAGTGGGACAAAGAGATATTTGAAAATGGAGGATTATTTGTCACTCTCATCACTGGATAGCCTCAACTACATCCCATAGCACCCCGACCCCCTCAGCTCCTGTATACCCCCCCATTCACACCTGCTTTATTTTCGTTTTAAAGCCTTTTTCCTTTGTTTCCCTTCCCATTGAATTTGTATATTGTATTTCTTAAAGATAATTATGGCCAAAAAGTAGCCAGCATTAATTTGTGTAGTGAAATGTTGTTCCACACTTTTTTGATTGTAATCATTAAAAGGAGCATATTGTTACACTATTATTTAAGTCAGTGGCGGGGCTGGTGTGTCATTTTTGTTCAGAACTATAGTGCCGTTTTTTTAATGCAGCGATGAGGTCTGCGGGGGCATGGGGGTTCTGCGCCTCTGCGTAAAACAAATTGGAAATGGACAGAAGAGTCACTTAAACGTGGAGCTCCGTGACTTCTGTGGTAAGGTTTAACCTTTGACCTCCTTTTTGATTGGTCTGCTCTGTGGCTGTGCTGTGCCATCTGACCAGACTTCCAATTCCGCTTAGCTTCATTGTGGGACATTATGGGAGTCTTCTTCAGATCCTGGGTTGGCCAGTGGAAAGCTCACAAACCTCAAAATACTATCTCGAGGTGGGGAGGTGAGGTATAATTTATTGATCCAGACGTTCACGTGAGAAAGAATTAACCTATAATTCATGCATGAAATGACAATTCAAAGAAATGGGTGATCTCAGGTCTACTCGGGCATTTTTTCTGTAACCAGTGCTGCTCGGTCAGTAAAGCTCAGAGCTCAGGAGTGATTAAAATGAAACCGATGTCCAACAAAAGTATTGAATAAGCTTTCATGTGCAGGAACACGAAGACTGTGGTATTTAAGAGTCACCATGTGGAAATTAATCAGCTGTGACACCGCCTAACGACATTGGGTGCGTATCGGCCCTTACAGCCCTGTAAAGTCCAGCTAGAAGCTTTTACAGCTCCCTTGATCTGTTTCGTCTGCACCTTGGGGCAAGGGGCATTTCTAAAGCATACTTTGGACAGCAATATTTATCAATGGCAGTCATTTACGTCTTATTAATCAGTCATTAATTCATTTGGTCAGAATGGGTTTTGGCTGATGCAATAAGGCAAATCGTGGTGGGAAGAACCGATGTAATTTAACCATGGCTAAATGTCCTCCGATTCTTTAAAACTCATTAAAGTCACTGAGGCTGTCTGAGGTGCAGAGGTGGAAATTTCAGGTCCAGAAAGTAAAAATCCAGTCCAAGATTTAGTTTCAACCAACCATTTGAGCATAAAGAGTCACAGACACAGAGTACTCAGCAGCTTGGTTGAAGCAAAATCTTGGACTGGATTTTTAAAGGGTGCTGTGGGTTCCTATCCTGCCTCCGTGTGTGTGGAGTTTGCGTGTTCTCCCCATGCTTCCCCAGATATTCCAGTTTCCTCATGTTGTTAAGGTAACTGGCATCACTAAATTGACTTGGGCATGTGTGCCCTGTGATGGACTGGCATCCCATTCAGGCTTATGCCCCAAGTGACCCGGGGTACCAGTCAGCCACACCGTCACCATGAACTGGATGATTAGTACGGAAAACAGATGTACAGAGCATGTTTGCATTCCAGAGACCGTTTCTGCTCATATTTCCCCTGCTTGCTGCAATTAACGGCGGCCACCTTTCTGCATGAGTCACGTGGTTTAGACGGTTCTGCAGTAGTCCTTGTCTTAATTTTTCATATTTGGCTATGCAGAATATCTGGGTGTGACCAGTAAAGTCATCGTACGTTAGGACCAGCAGCAAAACCAGGGTGGAAACCAGAACATGAGGACAATAATCTCATTTGCACACTGAAACATTTTATGAACTATTCCATCGCCTACATAGCTGAACGTCCACTAACCAGAAGGCACCAAAAACCCGTCACCCTGTTACCAGCATGTGTCTTGGGTCCTAGCATCCATGTCCGAATCTATGCCCTTGATTAAAAGTCTGGTTAAATTGGAACAGAACAATAATGTGGTATAAGGGGGTGTTTAAATTCAGCCTATGGATTTAAGGAGACAATTAAGTGGGAAAAAAATTCAAGGAGGGAAGCAACATGAGCAAAACTAGAGAGGGGGAAGAATGAGTGCATAATGGTTAAAAGATGGATGGGGGGCAGGCAACGAAGAAATAATGGCAAACATACTGGGGGGTGTTAGTGACCAAAAGCAGGACAAGTGGTTCTTCTGAAGCTGAATTCTATAACAGCCGGCAGAGGAGAGGGGCCAGGAGATGAAAAAAATTAAATCTTCATGAATCTCGGGGAGGTTTTTAACATCTAGGTCGTTATGCTCTTAGTAGGAATTTTGCCAAGCAGAGTTCATTAACAAGTACAGTCTCCTTAAGAAAAACGCTGCAGGTTTTCTGACATTTCCATCCTGCTGGTCAGTGAAGACAGAAAAGTAAGGCGGTTATTTGGACCTTACCTCTTCCCGTAGGACACACTGCTGTAACCCTCGATTTCGCTCGCTACAATTCCCCTCCGCCTCCTCTCTTTGTACGACCGCCCTGTTCATCCTTCCGTTCCCCGGGGAAACCGCCCTCCAATAAAAGTACTGTATAAAATGGAAGGTTTATCTTTCAAAACATGTCCACTCCCAGCCTCTCTCAGCGGGGGTGTAACATTGTAGCAACACACAAGGTTTCACAACCCTAATACTGGGCCCACAAAGCAATCCCCCCCCCCCCCCAGGCAAGCCGGAAATACTGCCCATGAAAACCCGAAATAAAAAAAAAATTAAAAAAACCTTTAAACCTTTTTTATGGTGAATGTACAGATATATACGGCTTGGATTCAATTTAATGTATAACAACCTCCCTCTCTGGACAAACAGCCATATTTGCAGGCAGACCCCCGTGCAGGGCAAACAGGCTGTGTTTGATAAGGTGTACTTGTCCCATAAACCATTTACACCCCCTGTGAAAAGAACCGTCCCGACAGCAGTGTCGCTGTGTTTCTGCTATCTGGCAGAGCGCAGAGGCTCAGCCAAACCACACACTTTCACACCGTATATTCCTGAATCAATCCCCAAGGGTTACACTAGTATTCGTGAAATGTACATCCATCCATCTCAAAACTGTTTATGTAGGACTGAGTCATGGGGCAGTGGGAGGGGGAACATATATTAGGTAGTGAGGGGAGAAGGTAGGGATTATACACACAGGATGCCAGTTATATGTGAGATGCTTCATCTCTTTAGCAGACATTGCAAGTTATGCAATGAGATTTCAGAAACGTATGTCCTGAAAATAATGTTAATGTTTCATAATTGCACTCTATTGCAATCTTTGCTCAAGAAATGAAGACTGTGGCGGTTGCAAATAAAATTTTACAGCTAGAGAGCTTCCTTGCGGGGATTCTGGGCAGAGTGTTATGCAACTGTAGCTTGGGACCAGACTCCCGCAGATCAGTCTCTTCACACACACACACACGCACACGCACACACAGCAAGCGTCATCCAGTGCAGGCGAACGCAGCAAGTAAATCCACACTGGAAATATTACAGTACTGATTAAGCACTTATTGCACATATTTTATTTTGTAATACAATAGTGATGAGTGAGCCAGGAGTACAGTACAGTCTCAGATGGTTCCAAAGTATTCCTGAAAGTCGATCTGCCCGTGTTATTCCAGAATTAAAAAAATTTAAAACGCTTCTCGGTATTTCAGTGACCCGTGAGTGATCTTAGACACACTAGGCACACTGCCGGCGTTGTCAGAGCTTTCGCAAGACGGGGCCTAATGAGAAAGGTTGGGAGACTGATGCAGCAGTGGTCAGCGATGCTAACGGAGCCGATTGTGTTTCTCAGTGCTGTGGGCAGGGTTCAGACTGACCACACTAATGGGTTTATGTTATCGATCAGTGAACCTCGTCGGCGTAGATCTCTGTTATCGACTGTGCCTCTCCAAAGAGTTGCTGACTTCGGTGAGCTGGGACTCGGAATATCTGGGCCGTTTAATTCACGACGTCATTTTTTGCTTGCGTGTGCCCTTACTGGGCGCTGTCGGTTTTCACACGCCAGACATCCCAGCGTGATTGTGGAAGGTAGGCCAACGACAGCGGGCGCCGGGGTGCAAACGATCCCAGATGTCCAGACAGCGCCCCACTCTGGCAGCCCGCAGTACTGCAGCATCCAGGACATCGTTCGAGTTCGCTCGCCACGATTTTGATTCCAGCGGCAGAACCCGTTTATACCTATGAACAGTTATCCACCAGCTGTCCTGAAGCTCCACTCATGAGTCCAAGAGCTGGGGGGGCAAGAGGGAAGGTGCTTTCACATGCATAATTGTATCAAAGCCAATGCCACACCATAAATGTTCTTTTCCCCACACTGTTCCATTTTTGTTCAGGACTGCTCCCTGTCATGGGATGGGGGTGTGCAAGGCTGGCTCTGGGTGCTCTGGTTGCCTAGGTGAGATTATGTTAAGACAGGGGGGTCTTAACATACTCCCAGAGCAACAGAAAATAAATTTTGCCAGTTCATTTACGTTAAAATCATTTCATGGTATCTGGCTGCTAACTGGCTAGCTTAGCGTATTTCACAAGAAAAATTGTGAAATATTATGTCACCTATAGGCCCGGCCAGCCCTGGGGGTGAGGGTGGGGTTGCTTATGGTCACTGAAATGTCAAAGAAAAGACTAGAAAAGCTGTTAGATTAGACCTGACTACAGAAATGCATGACATGAAAGGGATGTCAAGTCATTGTTGACACAGGCCTGGGTGGTGGCAGTCGGGGGGGAATGGGGAGGGGTTGTGGCCTCCACTTCCCTTACTCCACCTGACCTATCACGGGGGCAGCCAGAGGAGAGGCAGTAACATGTGCCGAACAGGCACCACAAAACCCTATCCAAGCAAAATCCTTTGTGGGGGGAGGGGATCCCCGGTCCCCAAAGCTGAACGCAAGGCAAAATGTGTGCTAAGCAGGATCTGTAACACCCTCATTGTTGGCCTTTTGTTATCATACCCCCTGGAAAGCCCCCCCCCCGCCCCCGGAAAGCCCGTCCCCTAGAGAGCCTGCTCCCTGGAAAGCCCACCCCCTACAGAGCCCCCCCCCTGGAAAGCCCACCCCCTAGAAAGCCTGCCCCCTGGACCCCCTGCTCCCTACTTTCATATTATATATCGGGGTCTCAAAATTTTCGCTTGTCATACTTTTTGAATCCCCTGGACCCCCCTTAAATGGGTGGAGACCCCAACCTCCCAAATGCATAGAAAGCAACACTCTATTTATCTCTGTACCTCGTTTATATTCTCTGAGCAGTAACACCCTCATTGTTGGCCTTTTGTTATCATAGCCTCCTGGAAAGCCCGCCCCCTATAGAGCCCCCCCCCCCTCCGGAAAGCCTGCCCCCTGGACCCCCTGCTCCCTACTTTCATGTTATATATCGGGATCTCAAAATTTTCGCTTGTCACACTTTATGAATTCTTGCTTGCATTGCACAGCATCCAGTGGAAAATGCCGCAATACTCTGGAAAGGTAAGTACCTGGGGGTCTGACACAGCCCCCCTGTAATCCATCAATCCATCCATCTTCCAGAACAGGGTCACGGTGAGCCTGGGGCTTATCCCGGGAAGCACGGGGCAAGAGGCAGGGGACATCCTGCACAGGATGCCAGCCGGCGTGTCCCAGTTAACCATAATTCCCTCAAACCCAGAGGGGCCGCCTGAGGTAGCTGACAGGAAGCTCACTGCTCCACTTACAGATACCATGGAGATGATCTGCACATCTGCTTTACACAGACTACAAAGGGGGATTGTTTCATGTCCCAAACACGACACTTTCTATAGCTATTACTCATTTTAATATGTTTGAATTAAATAAATGCAGATTGTTAAGCACAAGTCAGACATGATGGATATGCATCAGGTGGGTGGGGAGGTGGGGGGGTTCACATCCCAGTTCCAAGCTCACCCTCATATCAACGTGTACGTTCTCCCTACGTTCCTCTGGTTCTCCATGCTTCTCAGATACAGTCAGTGATACAGTCCATCTGTAGATGAGTGACAGTGTATGGGAAGCCCAGCCCCCGGACAGGGTCTGGGTACAATGGTAATGGTACAATTGGCAGACCCTTTGGAGTACAGCCCCAGTGACAAGTAATTATACCCTCAAAAGTACAAATTGGTACTCTTTTTCTGACGGTGTGTTACATGTATAATACCAAGACCAGCATAGTATCTACCCAGACTTAGTGTAGCTAGACTGTATCCTAAAAAACTAAATTAATTTGTTGTGGAGTGAATCTTATAATGTAACATAAGGGCTTACTCGAGAGGACAGGCAATCTTTTCAAGGCAGTATTTCAACTGTCTTTTTCTTTAAAAATGGTATTCGTTCCAGAGGTTTCATAATTTAATTAGAAAAGATTACTGAGCACTTTTTGACTGTTTGAATTAAAGTTGCGCAAGGAGAGGATTTTTAAATAAAATTTGTCGTTCTGGCACCCGGGCGTCTCTCAGACAGCAGCAATCGTGCCCAGACACATTGATTTATCTTGTTTTCCTCTCTTTTTGCCCCAACTGTTCGCGGTCGCTGGTGTGCCGTTATCCAGATCGTATTTTATGAGGGGAGGTGTTTCACCGGGCAGAAGCTGGAGGTGTGCGGCGAGTGCGATAACTTCACGGACTGGGGCTTCATGAACCGGGTGAACTGCATCCGCGTGGAGAGCGACGCCTGGATCTGCTACGACCACCCCGACTGCCGGGGGAAGCAGTTCATCCTGGAGCGCGGAAAGTACCCCGAATTCCAACGCTAGGACGCGCACAACGACCACGCTCCTGTAAGCCTGTGAGGATGGTGAGGACCTGCATGGAACATGCGGCGGGGGGTTGACGGAGAGATACGACTGCAGATGGATGGAGATATGACTTCTCAGACGGGGTCATCATAATGACACAAACACAGATACAAACCATGGGCGTAAATTATGGGTTGGTTTTACACCCCCCTCCCCATAATCAAAACCATCCAATAAAATCCCCTGGACCCCCTTAAACGAGTGGAGACCCCAACCTCCCAAATGCATAGAAAGCAACACTCTATTTATCTCTGTACCTCGTTTATATTCTCTGAACAGGAATTTTATCTTCTAACATCATATTAAAATAACTGTACCTTCTTGGGTCACTGGTGCTCAGGTTGCAGATACCTGGGGGCTTTAGGCGTGCTTGAAAGCACGGGGCGCCGGGGGCAGCGCTGTGTCCGATCGCCGAGGTTTGAGCGCTCCTCCGTGACGTTACGCAGATACTGCTTTGCGGTTGAATTAGGACAGACGCTTGGCAAGGAGGGTCGAGCTCCGTGTCCTGGACCGTGTGCGAGACTGATGTTGTTGTTGGCCATCACAAGGGGGTTCACTTCGTTTCAGCCAAACACATGGGAGGGATTTAAAAAAAAAAAAAAAAAAGCTGTGATTCAAGCTTGACAAAGTGGTATTGATTTGTGAGCGCGTGGTGGTGGGGGGGTACTAAACTTACATAATTCATAAGATGTCCGTGAAGGAAAATATTTCAAATGTGCGGCATTAAGTGTGATAAGTACGAAGGCTTGTGGTTTTGACTGCTTGGAAAACATCGTTTCGAAACCCCACGAATGCCTTAAGGATTCAGACGTATTTTGGAGTAACTCGTTACCCAATAAGAAAATTTGAAGATTACGAATAAATATTTCAAAATAGTTTACTGGTACCTCAATACGGTTTATAGATGCAATTTGCAGTTAAAAAAACATATTTTAGAAATGATCTGGAGTGTGAAATATCTGGCACTCATGAGCTGTGGCTCCTTAATTAGTATCGGTGAGGGGACACTCGGTGAGGGACCCGACCCCCTCTGTCTCCACCAGCACGACGAGCGCCACAGGATCGAGCTGTTCGAGGGCGCTGGCTTCTCCAGGCAGTGTGTGGAACTCTGCGAGGACTGTCCTTTCATGCAGGGGCACGGATTCAGCAGCCACTGCGTCAACTCCGTCCGGGCCTTCGGAGACGGAGCGTGAGTTTCTGTCGCGGATGCCGTTAGTCGTTAATGGCTTTCAGTTGAAATACTATCCCTACACCCCCTGCAGGGAAGCAGGATTTTTTTTTTGTAAATCTTTACTTAACTGTTTCCTATCCAGTACAGTTCAGCAGAAACTCACCATCTTTCTAATGACCAATTTCATAGAACAGAGCCCTAACGTCCTTAGGTGAAGTACGGTGTAATTTAATGTTTGTTATAACATTCTTTGCACTAGCTTACATTTTTGCAACATGTTTCATATACAGTTGCCTGTCGATTCTAAGCACATCTTTGACATTCCTTAGACGTGAGCAAGGATAAGTCATTCTCAGACAAGGACCACAGATCTTGGTCTAGATTTTTTGTTTATTTGCAAGTTAGTACATATATAATGATACGCTACAAATCATGTTAACGAGGGGAAATGCAAATGTCTGTGTCTGTCTATTTGAACTCATAAACATTGTCTGTTTTGGTTCGTTGATTTCATAAATATGGCTTTTCTTTGCTTACGTGATACCACAATAAGAATGCACGCAGAAGTATTTATAAATACCACCCCCCCCACACACACACACACACACCCCGGACTGATTCAGCTCAAACAAAGTTAATGAAGTTACATGCAGGAGTCAGTCTGAATAGGAACACCACCAAGCAGTCACTTAAAGAGGCAGGATGATGATGATGATGATGATGATGATGGTGGTGGTTTTCCTCCCCTCACCACCTCTGCGCCTCCAGCTTGGTGATTTACGAGAAGCCCAACTACCGCGGCCGGACGTACATCGTGGAAAGGGGCCACTACCCCACCCACAGCAAGTGGCACGCGCAGAGCCCCAACATCCAGTCCATCCGGAAGGTGGTGAACTGCTTTTAAAGCGCGTCTCTGGAAACTAATGCCGCGTTTTGCCTCCCCAAAGTGTGGAACGACAATAAAATTCGTAGCCAAATAATAAGCTTGATTAAAAACGTGCAGCTGTTCATTTTTGTTGAAACACCTGCATTAAAACTAAGTGGATGGGACGACAATCCATACCCTAAATATTAGAATAATACGTTCTATAATGGATAATTTTTCCCCCGATGTAGATGTTTTTATTAAAACTGGGTGCTGTTCATTATGGAATTTGAACAAGCCTTTGTTGTAATTCTGAATTAAGGTGGTTTGATATCCTGGAAGATTGATTAGATAAATGTTAGGGTCCTTTATTAAGTACGACTTGAAGTAGGCTAAAATTTGCTTTAACAGAGTTAAAAGAAAGTAAAGACATATGTTTCGATTGTTTATTGAGTTCATACAAAGTTTTACTTAGGCCTAATATAATACGTAGATTCTAGTTCGCCAATAAAACGCATGTGGTGATATACTTAAAGGTATATTAAACATTAAATGACTTCCAGTATAAATTGCATATTTATTTAAGTACTAGACGTGATGTGAAATAAGCCTGCAGGAAATTAAATATTTCGATGGCGTGCCGTGTAATTATGGCTCACATCGATCATATCGGTCCATCATAACGTCTCTGAGTTAAGGCTGGATAATTCCTCCCTGGTGAAGGCTGCACCATGCCGATTTTCTCCCTGGACCCTAATGAATGACGCAACGCCACTTCCTTGTTCCGAGAAAGCGGTGCCCAAATGGCCCCGGGAAGGGGGTTGATTTAAATACAATAAACGCCCAAAGCGCCGCATCGTAAGCCGGGTGTCTGGGATTGCGCCTGGGTAGAGCAACAGCGGCTGAAATGTCGGTCGCTTTCCTCATGCATGCATTTTGGTGATGAAATTACAATGAAATCACCGTCACTGCCAGACCGACGGACGAGATTTTCTAGCCCCACCACTGCGAAGTGAGGCCGGCGTGGCGCACCCTGCCACGATCGATGCTGCGCTCCGTCGGGGGCATCGATGAGTCCCGGTGCGGAGGGGATGGGAAGCGGCACCTCCAGGAGGACACGGTGCTTGAGAAGCGTCTACTCGGAGCACCGCGGAGGCATCAACTGGCTCAGCTTGAGCCCCGACGGCGATCACTTGCTGACCTGCAGCGAAGACGGGACGGCGCGTCTGTGGGAGACCAAGGGGCTACAGTGTTGCGCACTTCTGCAAGGTAAAGCATCCGGCATAAAGGGGTACCAAAGGAGCCTCTATCTCCCAGCAGCTCGTCTGCAGCGGTCCCAAGCCCAGAAATCTGCATGACGTGCGATCCGCAAAGTTTATCCGGAAAGGATAGTAGTGAGTAAAGGAGACAAAGGACGGAGGAATTCGTGTCTCACACTTCTGTGATTATTCATCTATGAATAATTGAATCAAATAATACAGATACTGCAGTTTCCGACGCTGGTCTGTCCCAGTACAGTATGGTACCGATAAAACTCGGGACAGTAATCACGTACATCTTTACCGGATTACTGATTTTCTGTTTCTTTGTAAATGTTAGTCGGCCAAATGAAATCTTAAGAGTATTTGCAAATATAAACGATACATTTAAACACGTATAAACGGTGTTTACTTTCTTGGTGCGGTATAATGTTTTGTATTTGCCTTAAGGTACTGTCATTGTTATGATTGCTATTCCTTATGATTTAAACAGTCGTGCACCGTTTGCTGTAATCGCGTAAACGGATAGTTTGGCGGGATGAAAGAAACGTTATCCCTACTGACAGATTTGCAGTTATCGTGTATTATATAGTACGGTTGTAACTTGACATTTTTGCCTGTGCTTTTACCGGAAGCTGTCACACAGGACACTTTGATCGGGACCTCTGTATGGATCTTACACATGGAGCACTTTAATCCGTAAAATCTAAATCTACCTGTTGCTGTCAGAGCGGTTTACTCACATTCAGATCTTGAACTATACACTGTAAATGTTGTAAAGCCCTTGTAATACGAAAAGTTTGGCGAGATGAAAGAAACGTTATCACTGCCTACACATTTCAATATCTAAATACGTATCACGTACGTGGCCTATCTGCAGCCAAGCAATACGAATAATAAACATGAATATAAAATGTCCGCCCCAGATTGTTTGTGCTCGCCTTAGGACTCTCCGTCCCCGACCACTTGCAGGGCATGACAGCTACGTCACCCACGGTCACCTGGAGAACGATGTGGCGTACACCTGCAGCGCGGACCACACCGTCAGGAAGTGGGACATGGCCACGGGGGGCTGCATGCACGTCTTCAGGGGACACACCTCCATAGTCAACAGGTGACCTTCCAGCCGTCGCGTTTTAACAGCCGCCGCTGCGGTTGGTGCCATATATCTTTATTTTAAAAAATCCTGTCATTGCGATTAGTTTCAAGTCTTATGAAGTGCGTTTTCCACCTGCCTGCTGGATGGTTCTTGAAAGGAAATACATAATACAAAGAAAAATAATATGAAAATATACAGTGTTCTGCAAAAGTTTCAGGCAGTCACAGGAAATGAGGTTTAAATGATCTTTATGTCGGTATAAAGCTATAATATCATTGCTGTCAAAGTGTGTGAGCTTTGCCATTTTGAAACCTCTGCTAAAATCACCACAGTATTTGCAGTAACCGCCTGCTACATCCATGTATTTTTTGACTCCACCGCTACCCTATCTTGTTTGGCTAATCAATTCCCCATTTAGTTATTTAGCAAATCAAGTTAATAAATTGATAGATCTGATTGAGAAATTTAACACATATATAGAATGGCTTTGGTGCCCCTGAGGAGAGTTTTGGGAACCGAAGCGGAGTTTATCTAGCCGTCGGACAAGATATCAGTAACTTTTTGGAGAACAGATGAAATTCTGTTTCCCCGAAAATCTTTATTTCTTACATTACTGTTATTTTCCATATGTTATGATGTTAAATTGGGGTTTTGTTTTTCAGAGAAAATATACAATTGCTACCAGAATTAATAAAATACCTAAGACTTTTGCATAGTATACTGTAGATAGAATTAAGAAAAAAGATTCAAACAAAAATAACAATAACATAAAACAAAGGAAAATAAAAGGGTTTTATCAGTAGCTGTAAAATGAAGATATAAAATAAAAATTGTGGGACATTATAAAGTGTGTAGTTAAAGTGGCTCGTTAGGATTGGTATTATGGTGAGTTGTGACTTTTGGTTATAGGACAAGGTCTTGGAGACCAAATGTACCTTTTTTTGTATGTTTGCTTCACGTTTTGTGGTCCTAAATAGATAAGATCTGAGAATAGTAATCTGTGCAACCAGGAGATGTGGTCAGTGCTGGAAAGATGAGTGAAAGTTCAAGGATTCGTATTTATCAAATGCAAGGTTTACAGTCAGACTACCCTAATAAATATTTAATAATTCCATGGTGCATGTGTAAGAAGTGAGTGTTAAATGATAACTCTCATAGGCATATTTAGTAGTCTGCTAGCCTGAGGGTAGAAACTCCTTGTGTGAGCCTCGCTGCGTTCTCGCCGTGAGACCGGCGAAGCGCTTTCCAGGCTTCACTGTGGTGAAAAGGTCGCGATGTTTCCGTACATTTGTGCGTGTATAGCTAAAGGCTCCCTTTTTACGGGCTGGTGGAGCTCTCGCTGAATGCGGTGACTCAGAACAAGTTTCCTCCTTCAGCAGGGATGCTTTAATGCACAGGTTTACCCAGACTGACACCCAGGGGCCTCAACTAAAAAGGGCCCTCAACTTTTCTGCATTAAATTACTGCTCATTTTACATCCTCCTGACCTAAGGTGTCTTATGTCAATACAAGAAAATACAGTGATGTAATACCTGATGTAATAGATTTTGATTTTTATTGTCTTTATGGTTCTCATTTATTTTATTCCTATTGTTAATTTTATTGCTTTTATTTTATGTATCCTTTTATATTATTTTTATTTATGTTGCATATTAACTTTTGAGCGCAACCCAGAAAGCAGGTGGAAAAAGCATTTTACTGCTAGGGTTGCAAAATTTTGGGAATTTTCCTGTTAATTCTCATATATTCCCGTTAATTGCCATAGAAAGTTTCCAACTTGGAATATTTCCAAACTTGGAAAGTCACATGGAATGGAAAGTTTCTGGAAAGTTTTCGGAAGTTTTCGGCCCCTTTGTAACCCTACTATGCATATGTACAGTGTATGTTTGTGCATGTGAGAAATAAGACTAAAACTGAGACTAGCTTATTGTCCCAGGGTCCTGGTCGCCAGCGGATGCCTGTTCAGCGGCTCGTATGACCGCACGGCACGCTGTTGGAATCCTGACAGTGGCCGGCAGCTGCAGGAGTTCCGGGGTCACCGCAATGGCGTCTTGGCACTGGCTCACTTCTCCGCTCAGGACCTGGTGCCTGATTACGCACTGAGTGGCGGGCAGGGTGGCGACTTCCTGGTTACGGGAAGCACTGACTGCACTGTCAAGTTGTGGCTGGTTCTTAATGGCCACTGCTGTCATACCCTCCGTGGCCATCAGGGGGCAATCCTCTGCATGCTGCTGGATGTGCCGGGCAGGGCCCTGTTCACAGGCAGCAGGGACCATACGGTGCGGTGCTGGGACCTTGCCACCGGTGAGCAGACACGAGTGCTGCAGGATCATCAGGGCTCCATCATCTGCCTGGAGGTAAATGCCGGGGCGATCCTACCATCCAGGCCCTATGACATGTCCAAGGCCAAACTCTGATCTGTACCGATTTACAGAATAACATCAAATTCTTCTGGTTCATGGGTGGTACTGTTATGATCCCTGTGGTGGGCCTTGAACTCTTAGGACATTCTGATGGTACAAGCAGGAAGGACCTCATGTTTTTCGCTCCAGTAGGCCGCCGGAGAAGCACAAGTTATCCAAAACAAGGAGGTGTTGTTTATACCACGAGTGCTTTGCGAAGACGACAATCTGCTGGTTGGTTTAAAAGGACAAAGGATCTAGCGTCCTAGATAATGTGAATCGTAATGCTTGTGACCATTTTCCCATTAACTGAACGGCTGGAGAATCAGTTCTGTTGGTTTTTACAATAATGAATATATAGAAATAAAAAAACTTCTTGTATTTTCATTAAAACACATTAAAGCATTTTGCTTGAAAGTAACTGATATATCCTTTTTACGGACAGGGCACATGACAGGAAGTTTGGCAAAGCTGTTTTCTAGATCAAATTTGCAAGCTGCAGATGTTAATCTCTTCCTCCTTTAATTAAATGAGGATAAAATCGGTAATATGATACATCCCTCATCTTCCCACATAGGAGACCACTTTTTAAGGGCACTTCTCTGTTTATACGCTCTTGGCTCGTGGCTGATAATTCCAGTATTTGGCTTTTCAGCTGTTGTCATCAGTATTTAATAAGATACACGTGGTTCACAGAAAAATCCAACCACATGTTTTCATGCTAACTTGACTTTTGACGAATACGACAACTGGAAGAGGCCCTAAAGCACTAAGCTGACGTACGGGTAGATCAGGTTGGCTTTTTAGCTTCTGGGAGATTGGGTCCAGTATATTCAATCTTTAGGGGACTGGCAGATAAATTAAGAAATCCATTGTTTTCACATGATAATCCAAAGTGCAATTCAACCATTGCTCCTGTGCTTCTGGTGCGGGGATCTCTAGCAATTATGGAATGGACTGGTACTCTCATTCTGATCAATAATACCAGGATAACTTCTCATATTAAAGATGTTAAACCTCAGAAGAAAGTCTTTTTTTTTTGTACCCTGGATCCATTTCATGTGTCCTGTTACTGTATTATTGAATTAGTCCATTTTGGTCCTCTCCCAGGGATTATGTTAGGGGTCAAAGTAAAGCTTTAAGAGAACAATAGTCAATTATGCTTATTTTAATCCAGTCTTTCAAGAATGATCTTGACCGAAATCCCTTCACCCAGTTTACAATGATTAAATTTATTCAGACAAAGAAGAACATATGATGGGTATCGTGCTCCTGGTGGATGAAAAGAAAAAAAATTAGCGGGTTAGATTATTGGAGTAGCATCTCAGAAGTTGATGGCCTCCTAATCAGTGATGATTTTTGCTTTCTTCCCCAGTTTGTCAACAGACACTTGTATTCTGGAAGCACCGACCGCACAGTCAAGTGCTGGATGGTTGCGTCTGGCGAGTGCGTCCGCACCTACAAGTCCCACAGGCACACCGTCAGCACCCTGCAGTTCTACGAGGGCATCCGTGAGTTCCTGGGTTTCTCTCAATACCAAGAACAAAGATCATACTTGTGGTCTTGGAAAGAAGGGTCTTAGTAACTTGCCTTCCAAGAACGAACTTGGGGCGCAATGAATCATGGGAATCCTTGATATTTGGGGTGGGGCAAGAACGACATTCGGGGATTTCTACTATCCTCTGTACTTCTGTTCTTAGTATTGGAAGTGGTCTTTGGTAATGGAAGATGATGTAAAAATAGGTACAAAAAACACAACTACGGTCAAGTAAGAAACACCCCCTCTCCGGATGACCATGACACTCCATGTATCCGAAGGAGACAGGGCGGGGTTTCTCACTGGTTCCGTGCTTTTTTGTGAGATCCTCTTAGAGGATTTTCTTCTGGCCCTCATTCTGAGGAGAGTTCTCCATGTTATCGCCCCAATGGTCGATGTGGTAGAGCAGCGGTAAAGGAAACCACATTTGCTTCCAAAACTACATTTCTGAAATCACAAACAGCTCCGTGACAAGACGGCAGCAGAGCTTTATTCGGGGGACGTTTTAGGGACGATGACAGAAGCATTGCACAACCTCATCCAAAAGCACAAAGAAATGACCAAAGCCGCATTCACTAAGCAAGAAACTTTGTGGTCAAGAGACATTCTTCCTGTCCCATGCCAATGCTGGGTAGGGAGAATGTTATATTTAAACCATCCATATGCTGAGTTCAACTTGGTAAGCAGTTCCACAGCAGTGGTAGGGATGTGTTGCTTTCTGTAACATGGAGTCTTGTTACATGCTTGAAGATCTTTCCGGGACTCCAGTTATAAAACACCTCAGCGGACTTTGGGGGATATTGGTTTTAAATTGCCTTTATTTTCTCATATCATGGCAGCTTGCTTTGCATTTCAAAGAGGGTTGGTCTTGCTATTTTAACGCGATTGTTGCACAATCAAAGTTGAATTATGCATGAAGATTAAAAAAACACTGGAAGTTTGTAGAACACTGCAGCTTTTACCTGTTGTTTCAGGAAGGTTAAGAAGTTATTGAGAAGTTTGTCAACATCTGTATATTTATGAAGGTATTTGTGCATCATTATGTCAGAAGTTGTCTTTAAAACTCCAATACACTGGTGTCTTAGATCTTAGGGTTATAATGGTCTCAATTGAATGCTAACTTCTTCGTAGAGTTTCACATGACTCTCAGTTGAATCACAATGCTAAATTTGTAATTTTTGGCATTAGTTACACATCAGATTGAATTTAGGACATGTGGACAACTTTTCAGGACTTTAACTTGATACAGTAGTAATGTGTTGGCAAATGTCCTCAGAAAATTTACTTCATCTGCGTTCCACTGGAACATGGTGATGGGACACGTTGTTTTATAGGATTGAAAAACATTGACGTTGAAAATATCTCGCATCAGTGTTTACAGGAAGTGGAGACTCGTGTGCAAGGGCCTTCGACACCACATCTGGCATCTTGAGAAGAGTCTTCAAGGGACATAAATTTATCATCAATTGTTTACAGGTGATCCATTTTATGGTTTGTGCATTGGGTTTTAACATTATTTTGCATTTGAGATGCTTATTTAGTTACAACATTGACTGAACACAACTGTGAGGCTGTCATATAAAGGATTATACAACGTGAGCTTGTTTGCTGTTGTTACATTTGTACTAAAATCAATTACTCCACCAGGTTCACAACCAGATGCTGTACACAGTGTCCCATGACTGTACCATGAGGGTTTGGGACGTGCGTGGTCTGTACAAATGTGACCAGGGTGAGGACAGCGAGAGCCGCTGGAAGGGCTCCTTTGGAATCGGCCTCTCGCGGGTGAGAAGGAACCGCGTTGGATGCTTGGGGCTCTCACACAGGCCCACCACGGCAACCAGCACTAGGAACGATCAGGAAGGTAGAGAAGACACCTTGGAGCTGGACTGAGCTCAATGTCTCCACCCTTTTTTTTTGTCTTGACTGTTTACACATTTGCACAGAGGGCAGAGGTTTTGATATTTGGATGCGTGCAAGGATGGACAGTTTTGTGAGATGACCTGATAAATTCTTGCTAGATTCGGGATCTATCCCACCCAAGCCAAAGAGTGCCCATCCATCCTGTCTTTCTCATCAGACTCTCCATGCATGGTGTCATAGTCTCATGAAGATCAATGCTCCTCGTACTGTCTGGCTGTTTCTCCTCTGGTACTACTTCATCAGTCAAACTGCTGAACCTCTGTTCACCCTGGCACTTTTCGTTCCAGGACTTTTTTCAGGTTACTTTTTTACTGATCTAATGGAACAAGTAAGCTAAGATCCTAGTCTGGGTCTTAGATTAAATTATGGCTCTGGACTGTTGTACACAAGGAATGCCTTCGAGGTCCTGTGGTTGCTACCCTAACTCTCGTTTCACCCTGTCATTGATTCCAGTGACTTGACTTTTCATCTTGTCTCACATACAGAATTCCTGATGGTCCTCATTTTTAAATAAACAAAATGACACATCCAGTTCGGTCTCCTTGTCAGTCTGATTATAGAGCACTGTGAAGTTAAGCCTTATGGGACTGTCTGTTTTGAAGAGCTGAAGATTGATGCCTCTTGTCAGACAAACCAAATACATGCCTTTAAATCTGTGCTTACAGTTTAGCACTATTTTATTGGTTGGGTCGTGGTCTATCATAATGAAGAACAGCAGGGATTTATATATAAAACAAACTCAAAAAATCTTAAAGACATGAAGGAACCATATGCATAGCATCATTCCTTTTACCACAGACCCCCTCTAAAACCCACTCCTCCCCTAAAGACACCCATTTGACCTCTTGAAAACCCCAAGCAATGACTTAACTGTAGCCATATGGGCTTCGTTAGCTAGGTTACCTGTAGGCATGCACTGGTGATCGATCGTCATAGAAACACCCTGTATCTCTGCTGTGCCTCCTGCCAGGATACATTAGCTTAATACAATTTAAGCGCAGTTAGCATGGCGCTTTGCTGTTGTGCATTAGAAGGATAGTAATGCACATTGTTTGTATTGGTCCTGGACTTGGACGGTATTGGTTGCAGACCTCCCAGTTTTGGTCTCCAGCAAAGTGAGATTGTATCCCTTGCTGTGACATTCAAAACAGAAAGATTATAAATCTTAAAAGAGCCACAGATTCAGCTATGGAAGGCTTGCCAGATCAGCAGTGCTGGCGTGATTAACTGCACTGCAAAGCTGTGCAGTTAATCACACACACACACCTTCTTGACTGGGTAGGTATTTAAACTTCAGGGTTTGAATATTGTTAAGTGACCGGTAGGGAGTGGCGATTGCATGGAAATGCAGGCTGGGGATTGATGAACACGGTAATGCAGTGTTTCCCAATCCGGTCCTCGGGGACCCACATTCGGTCCACATTTTTGCTCCCTCTGAGCTCCCTGCCAGATGGTCCACATTTTTGCTGGGAGGGAGCAAAAAAACATAGACTGTCTTGCGGGTCCCTGAGGACCAGATTGGGAAATTGCAATAGTGGAGGAAGGGAGAAGCAGGTCCACCACAGGGGGAACCTGCAAAATTTACTCAGACAGACTATCCCCCCACCATACACCCGGGTCAGTGAATTTTACCAAGTGCCCCTTTTGATACCAGGTGCAAAATCCTCAACGATTTACTGAAAACTACGTAATGACTACTTGTGAAGGACTGCAGCCTCAGGAGGTGGCTGACAGCCAACTAGAGCTACATCTTCCTTAAAGTCACCATCTTCTCCATGTCATCTTGTGGATATTTCATTTTATTTTGGCTTGGAGGATCATGTTTGCTTTTTGAAAGACTGAAGGGATGCATAAAATGAGCCAGAAGACAAGAACAGTGTGTCTGAATGACCAGCTTTCATTTCCCCTGCCCGTATCCAGGCTGCTTTCACAAAAGGCCTCGCTCTCCGGTGTAGATCAATAAATAATGCGGGTAATTCTTAAAGCTCAGCTGAAAAGTGCCTGCCGCAGACTCTCGCTTTCTGCAGATATTGAGCACACAGAGAAATTATCACAGCTGTGTTAAGCCTGTAGTGATAATGGATCAGGCAGTACTCTAATCTCCTACTGGTGTGTTTCCAATAGTATCCCTGAGATAAACCATAGTATCTACAGTGAGGTGGCTCCAAATCCATGAGCGTTGTCTGGGTAGCTATAGATGTGAAAAGTGATATGGGATCACAGTTTAATCCGATACCAGCAAGCTCTGCTGCCCACTAATCGAGCTAGGGTCATATATTTAAATTATTTTCTCCCAAAGCAATTTGATTGCAAAGTATTGTCAGCTGAATGAAGTAGTATTTTGAAAATATATTTCCACCAAGAACCTCTTTAGGTTCTTTGCTGCCCCCCCACCCCTGCCCCCGCGCTGAAGTGAATTGGAGCTGCTGAATGAAGTGTGTGCCCTGCGGTTGATCAGTAATTTTGGGGATAGGCTCCGGACCCCAGTGACAAGTGGATACAGAAGATGGATGGATGGATGGATGGATGGATGGATAGACTGATTTTCACCTGGAACCTCTCGGTTTATATGTGCACAAATAACTGAGGTAAGCTTTGTGATTTTTTTTCTTCTCCCTAAACATCATTATCATTAAATGACTGGATGACAATATTACCCACTCGCGCCACCTTCTGGTCACCAGTAGAATAAACAGGATTGATTTATCTGCGGTCAGTCAGGGGGACTGATTGTCTGCTGGAATAACTTGCTTGTCCTTTCAATTTTCCCAAACTCCAGGTAGTGACAATATTCCTCCCATATCACAATTTTGAATCTTTTGCATGCTCCTGTTTGCTAATGAAGTGTCCTTAACCGTATCTTGCTGTATATAACGAGGCATAAAACCCAGGTTAAGTCTTCCGGGAACACCTCGACTGTATAGACAGCCCGTCTGCTACAGTCCTGTTCTGTTTTTGTCTGCGATCCCACAGCTGTGAAATCTTATTTTTGAACTTCTATGTACTATGTTGGTGTTGTTAGTACATTACAAGCATAGTAATATCTGCCCCACTTGAACATTGTTTTGGACAAACGCGTTTGCTAAATAAATGATTACATAAGGTGTCCTGTTCTGATTAGGCTAGCCTGCTACTGCCACGGCAGGCTCGGACTGTAAGATTTGTGGCTGATGAGTTATCGATGACCTACCCTGTCAGTGAAGCGCGGATGATTGACTGTGAGGCTGAGAAACTGACAGATTCGGTGCCTCGGGGTTTGCTGAATTACCCGTGATCTGCTCTTCTGTGTCAGCCAGTGAAATAGAAATGTCATTTACTAAGGGAAACGCTTTCATGTTCTAATCGAGGTGTGTGATTAAAAAAAAAATCCTCCTTTTTTGTCTTCTTTGCCCACTCCGGTCTTTGATGACCCTCAGCCGTGGTGCAACTGGGTTTCTCGGAAATCCTTCCATAACTGATTCTTAAAATATAGAAGAACCGACATTTTTGGATTTAATTCAACCACTCTAAAATGTTACGTATATCCTGGGTGAACTATGGAAAAGGAGGTTTGCTGTGTAGAGCATAACTGATATTGAGTTTTACCTGATATTTTTAGAAGGGATAAAGGTCTATTAGTGAGTGCTCTTCATCATGGTACTGCGATAAGTCAGTGGACTAGCTGTTGTGTTTTTCTCTCTCTGAAGGAAATTGTTTATTTCCCTTTTTGTATAAGGTATATTGTAGTGCGCTACTGGCAAAATTAAATGTATTGGGAGCGAGGATTATTGAGTAGGCGTACTTATCTAGATAGGTCTATATTGTATTTGAAGAAACAAAACAGATGTCAAAAAATAAAATTCTGATCTAAACAATAGGCCTCTATTTAGGAAGATGTGAACTGCGAGGTTCTCTCCGAAATATTATCGTTGCACAGTTCGTTAGCTAACACGGTAGGAAAATGACTCATGAGTCATGACCCTTTACATCTCCTCTAGATGGCAGTGATGTTATGCTAACCTGAGACATTCCATTCCTTGGGAGGAAAAAGTGATAACAGAGAACACAGACAAACTTTCCACTAGGTTCTTTTAAGGAACAAATGAGGGGGAAAGGGCCCCTTTCCAACGGCAGTGGATCGCTTGTGGTAAGCGTGGGTGTGTTTTTACTAATAGTACGCTGTTATCAGCTCAATGCCACGACTGCAAGGCGATTGCAAGATGTTTTTCATTAATTGCGCATATGCATACAATCTGTGAGGGGTGCATACACACACATACATACATACGTATGTGTGTGTGTGTGTGTGTGTGTCCTCTTTTTGGCGCTGAACCAAGATCTTGCTACGCAAGAAAACCAACGGTGGAGAGCCTCGGCACTGGACCGACCATGCATGTCCCTTGTCCCCATGGTAACCACACTGACTGAGCGTCAGTTCGGGATGGAATTAAGTGTAAAACCAGTAGAGAACACTGGTCTGGCCGAGTGATGTGTCTGGGTCCAATACTTATAGTTTAAAATATTCCTCGTTGTCCCGTCTGTAGACGTCGTGTGGCCGTAATTTAAACCTTCCTGAAATAATTCTTAATTGTTTCCATCGAAATTATGCAAATGCTCATATAATGCAATTTAAGATGCTTAAAATGCATCCTGTACAAATGCAGTGTGTAAATATTCAATGCCTATGGCTGGATTAAAGTGTCTACAATAAACACAGAGCAAGCTAAAAGCTGCATTTCTTCTTTTTTGTTACATTTTGCTGATTTGTTTGTTCAATTACTCGGTCCCATGGTGTGTTTAATACCTGTCCGGAGGTGAAATAAAATGTTCGCTTACATAAAGACAGCATTGTTTTAAGGCCACAATTAACATGGTGTATATTTAAGACCAAAATAAAAAAGGCAAAGTGATGCTAATTGGATAATTACGTGCCGCTTTTGAATTAAATGTGCTTTAGTTTTTAGCGGCATATGGAAATGGTAGATAAGAAATATGTTAAAACGCACCAGACAACAAGAGATCACCCTGAATTCTAAGCGTCAGCTGCTTATTTTCAGTAGGTAATACTGCACGCATTGCTTAATGAAAGTTTTCGTTCTTCTTTTGTATTTAGAAATTAAAATTAATATTCTTTTCAGTGAATCGATTCGTGCAACTAAACGATCCTTTCAGAATCGTCCTGAGTATATTGAATTATGTAGCCTATTTTGATTACAGAATTATAAAATTCAAATTACTATGTGTGTCATGTTAATTATATACTTGTTAATTACACTACGTACGCAGAGCTGACCTCTTTCAGACGACTATACACAGTTATGCCAGTAGGGGGCGATAGAGAGTTTCTCTTGGTCGTTGAACGAAGGATCACTCGCAGTGAACGAAAAAGAACGAATCAGCGCAATCACCGCCATATTTTGTTCACTTGAGATTCGTTCAAAAACAACGAATTTAACTGCTATTACATCTTATTCTAATTAAACAGATCCTTGTGATAACCTTGCTCATAATTTATTTGTGACCTTATAAAAACGTTTTATT